CCTTCATGCTTGGGAGCTGTTTTAATTTTCCCCATGTGTTTCTGACTTAGAAAAGTAGCATCTCCCAACCAGTATGGATGGGGGTGCAGAACAGCCTCCTTTAGCAGATCTAGAAACAAGGGGCCTCTGGCTGGAACAGCTGAAATGCCATTTAAAATACATGTTGCATAGGACAAACGCTGTAATAATGTAGTTCGAACGGTTTATATCTGGCATTTGTCCCAGTCATCAGTCCTGTGGTGGAAAGGTTTAATTGTTTGCTGTTCTCTCTTACCCCTCTTCAGTTACCGCTTCATGGATATGTTTCCTGATGCTGCCCTTGTAAGGGATATTCAGAAGAAACTCGACGACATTATACAAATTGGGGTCTGCAACATCACAAAGCTGATCCGAGCTTCGCAACCCACTGCTGCTTCTGGAGCAACACTAACCACGTCCGAAGAATTTCCCCCGTCCAGGACTAAGAGGGATCCCGGGCTCGCATCAGACCTCCAGGGTGCAAAACCCCCAGGGCAACCCCTTAAATCCGTGGAGGCTCCGGGAGAGAGAAGAGGAAAGAGCTTGAAAGCCCACAGATCCGCGAGGCGGGAGGATCTGCGAATCCATGGACATGGATCCCTTGCCGACAGATTGCTGCGCGAGGGACTGCTGACACAAGAGATGCTGAGGCAGCTGCAGAGCGAGTGGCAGGGCCAGCACAGGAATGGCAGATACGGCCCTAGTTCAAAGAGAATAGATCAGAATAGTTCAAAGGAAATGGGGAAAAAGAAAAAATAGAATCCGTGTCCTCATTCTGCTTAGTTTTTATTCATAAAATAAAAGCCCTCTTTTAATAACTTCATTGGCATTTCATGGTTACGCTGTTGCAGATCCTTGATGGTTTGTCTTCTCTCGTGACCAGATTAGTGAAGCAAATACTGGAAGAGAAGGACTCGTGTTTCCCAGCCAGCTGTGCGCTGCTGTGGCAGTGTTCAGCGCAAGTGAACGGCGCCATGTGAACATTTGCACGTAATACCTTCCTGCAAGATATCCTTGCAGCGCTAATAAAGGTCAGATCTTTCACTAGTAACGAATTAGTGCTCATTCCACCCCTTCCCAAAGGGCAGAGTTTAACAGATAGTGAACAGGGAACGAACAAGCTGGCGGGAAGTGAGGTTAGAGTGGTAGTAGCAGTCGTGTGGCTGCAACCTTTGCGTCCTGTGGAGAAGTGAAAGGAGACAAGAAGCATTTGTGTTAGTGTTTAGTGGCACGATGGAATTGTGATCATAGGGACGTTTGGGTCAATTCCAGTTCTGTCATCTGAAGGTAATTAGTAAAGAAAAACAAGACCTTTCCTTGCTCTTTAAATGGTTTTCCTTCTCCTAGGAAATCCTCATCACGTGGATTCAGGCGAATCATTCAGGTTTCTCAGATACTGTTACTCCTCAATACTCACCCTTTGGTTTCCTACCAGTGACTCTGTTACCTTATAAGCTGGAATGTAAAGCAAGGAAACGTTTACCTGTGATAACTGAATTTTAAGTTCAAAAATATTGAACTTAACCTTGTTTAACAATTTTAAGTTACATCTTTATGGGTTGATGCTTGTGACCTGGCTGTTCTCACCTGTTCATTTTACGGTGCTTAGCACAAATGTACCTGCTCAGCACGTGGAGGGAGCCTGAATTTGTTGGAGCTAAGTTCTTGGCAAACCCACTTCTTTGGGTGTTTCTGATATAGGATGCTGAATCATGTCAATGCACCACCAGGCTGTACGTGTTCCATACACGTGCAGATGCTCTGGAGCCAAATGTAGACATTGTATTGAGTGGAAGCAACTCTAACATTTGCCTTTGATCTCCCCCTGGATCGTGGAGTGGAAAGAATTGGATGCTGAAACTGTTGTGCTAACTCACCCAGATGGGTTTTGGCAGTGGGATATGTTGCTGTGGCTGCATTAAGGAGGCCCTGTGTGTAGCCACCGTGGTTGCTTACAGCAGCCTGCAGATACTGCTTGTGTTAGTGCAAAACTACGTGGAATTTCACCGCATTGAATATCTCACTGTCTAAAATGGTCAGACACACCTCTGCAGACTGAAATATCCTTCCCTTCCTCATAGCACCAGTACTTTAAGCTGCTCCTTAGAACCATCCTGCAGCACTTTGAACACCTTGAA